AACAAGTATTTCTTTTTGACGTAGTTTTCAATGTAGAATGTAAAAAAAAATATGGATAAGTCATTACCAAAAACACAAAAAAGTTATGAATAATCAAAATTTTCAAAAAATTCCCAAGTACACCCCTGACGAAATAATTTCTTTTTGAAGGTGTCAAAAGGTCACTATTATTGATCATATTTAACAGCCAAAATTTGGTTCTTTTATTTGTTTCCATTTTTAAGAAAATTCAAAAAATCAAAATAAAAAAAATGATTTCGAGAGGCTGTTGCTCGCTTAGGGGGCACTTTAGGACATAGGTCTATGGGAACTTTTTTTCCATTTTTTGGTTAAGGAATCTGCCTGAGAATTTTGGGACACATTTTAAAGGACACCCTGTATAGTGTAAACCAGAATTATTATTATCCCTGGTTTTTACGACTGAAATAAATAAAATAAATATATATTGGGACTATTTTTTCATTAGGGTGAAAAAACACCCCATTTAATCTTGCAGTCGTTCTCTCTAATATGGGTTAAAGTGGTATTTGTACCCAGCCCCGGATCTAGGAGAATAAAGCTACAATCTAAATTTACTGTGCTTTTCATTTTTAAAAAAGTTTGTTCTTGAAGTTATTGGTACCCAGACACCAAATCCCAGAGATATCCACAGAATATATTTTTTGGATATCCAATATATCCACAGGATATCAGAAATATTCCGTGGAACTAATATGGATATCCAAATGTCCGTCTATATCCAGAATATAGAAGATATCCTATGGATATTCAGCAAAATATCTAATGAGTATCTCCAGACAATACAAGAAATCCCAGATATATCCATAGAATATATTTTGTGGATATCCAACCAAATGTCCGTCATATCCCAGGATATAGAAATTCAGATAAATATTTTATAATTATTTTTAGTAGAGGTTCATAAGTAACCAATTGTTATTGAATAACGTCGAAAGAAAATAGAGGTAAAAAATATTCCCAACAATCTGCCTTTGATTTTGCCTACTATGGAGAAAATCATCCTTATTAGGAATCTTCAGCAATAAATGAAACTTCTCGAATTCACTCTCTAATGAAGTCTGTTTGTGAAACAATGTCGATCAAACTCAATTACGGCGGGTTAAGCATGAGTAGATACGAAAGTGGTATCGCCATCTATACTTAGGAAGCAAAATCAAAAATTACATCTAGTAGATATCCACGATGGTTTGCGTCCGCGCTTAGACTTTGATATATTTATATTTATAGTGGATGTCCATGGGATATTGAATACACCTTAAAAAAATTAATTTTAAATATCTCAACGGTACTATTAGCCACAATGGCGAGTACAATAGCGTAATTTTTTAATAATTTGCTATATAATTACAATTATTTATGGACATTTGCATGTCTATAAATTACATTTCATGGATATAAAATAGATATCCACCATGGACTGGACATTCAGTGGATATTGGGATGTTCAGTAGATATCCAAAGGATTTGGTGTGCTGTCTGGGTACTTTGTGTTTACTGAAAATATTTGTGGGGGGGGGTACCCCCAAATATTCCTATACTTTCCTTATGTCTGTATACAGATAGGAAAGTAAAAATACATAATTTGAATATATTGCTGTATTTTTTTTTTTTTTCATTGGGAAATACATCTAAGGTTAGGTTAGATAGATATTTACATCTATCTAACCTAACCTTAGGTGTATATTTTTTCATAGAGAAATACACCTAAGGTTAGGTTAGATAGATATTTACATCTATCTTATAATCATTCGGTCGCTCACGCATATGCGCTAAATAAGCGGTACGCGATCAAGAAGGAACGACATCACCGCGGCAGTCACTGTCTGACATTGATCGACAATCGATCTAACAAAAAATCAAACAATATTACCGTTTTTAAAGTGCCGCGAAAACTTCTAACAAAAATTTTAAGAGAATTTAAATTTTTATTTATTAAGTTACTTTTGTATTTGATTTAGTAATTATTATAAAGTAATTTAGGGGTATCTTACTCTTATGTTTTCTTATGATCACTTATCACGTGCTGGTACTTTCTGGAGGGGGATATATCCCCATTATCCCCCTCGTGGATACGCCATTGCATGCATTGTACATTACTATTAATATTAATAAAATATGGCACTTATGCACTCAAAAGAAGTTGGATGTATAATATATAGTTAAAATGACATGGCGCCTTCTTTTCTAGTAAATACAATCAATAAGTCGTTCCAAAGAAAATAATAGATTTAAACCATTCTATTTATACAATGATTGGAACAAAAAAATACCACTACAACAAACACAAAGAATAAAGGGACAAAAGTCGCATTTTACCTGACTCATAATGGTTCTATTGAAGCTGAGATAAGGATTGCTATTTTCAAGTAAACTTCTTTTGTTGTATACCAAAGGAAGGAATATAAGTATACCAAGAATTTTGCAAAAAAATGCAAGTTTTTTTCATTAATAATCTTCATATAGTGTGGACAAAATTAAATTTGTCTAAATATCAAGATATTATTACAATGGTCCATAAAAAACAGATTTTCTAGCTGGAGATATTCGAGAAAATCCGATAAAGCTCATAAGTTTTCAATAACCTGCCTTACCAAAATATATTAATTTCTTATTTATTAATTTATTTATATTTCCAGAACCTTCTTCAATTGAATTTTTTTATACACCTTTTGTATAGATGAAAAGAACATTCTATGAAAATATTTATATCTCCGCTTCTAATAAAATAAACCCAGAGGCATCAAACGTTGTGTACACACTACCAGAGCGGCAACACGATATACATGTATAAGTAATTAGAGTTGCCTAATTTTCGGCAATTGTTTGTGTAAAGACAAAAATTAACTGGTGTGAACAATTTTTAACAAAAATTAATAAAAATTATTAAAAATTAATAAAATTTAGTAAAAATTAATATAAATAAATAAATATAAATAAAAATAAATAAAAAGGAACAAAAATGAATAAAAATGAATAAAAACGAATAAAAACGAATAAAAAAGAATAAAAATGAATTACAATGAATAAAAATGAATAAAAATGAATAAAAATGAATAAAAATGAATAAAAATGAATAAAAATGAATAAAAATGAATAAAAATGAATAAAAATTAATAAAAATGAATAAAAATGAATTACAATGAATAAAAATGAATAAAAATGAATAAAAATGAATAAAAATGAATAAAAATGAATAAAAATGAATAAAAATGAATAAAAATGAATAAAAATGAATAAAAATGAATAAAAATGAATAAAAATGAATAAAAATGAATAAAAATGAATAAAAATGAATAAAAATGAATAAAAATGAATAAAAATGAATAAAAATGAATAAAAATGAATAAAAATGAATAAAAATGAATAAAAATGAATAAAAATGAATAAAAATGAATAAAAATGAATAAAAATGAATAAAAATGAATAAAAATGAATAAAAATGAATAAAAATGAATAAAAATGAATAAAAATGAATAAAAATGAATAAAAATGAATAAAAATGAATAAAAATGAATAAAAATGAATAAAAATGAATAAAAATGAATAAAAATGAATAAAAATGAATAAAAATGAATAAAAATGAATAAAAATGAATAAAAATGAATAAAAATGAATAAAAATGAATAAAAATGAATAAAAATGAACAAAAATGAATAAAAATGAATAAAAATGAATAAAAATGAATAAAAATTAATAAAAACGAATAAAAATGAATAAAAAAGAATAAAAATGAATAAAAATGAATAAAAATGAATAAAAATGAATAAAAATGAATAAAAATGAATAAAAATGAATAAAAATGAATAAAAACGAATAAAAATGAATAAAAAAGAATAAAAATGAATAAAAATTAATAAAAACGAATAAAAATTAATAAAAATGAATAAAAAAGAATAAAAACGAATAAAAACGAATAAAAACGAATAAAAACGAATAAAAATTAATAAAAATTAATAAAAATTAATAAAAATTAATAAAAATTAATAAAAATTAATAAAAATTAATAAAAATTAATAAAAATTAATAAAAATTAATAAAAATTAATAAAAATTAATAAAAATGAATAAAAATAAAAAAAATGAATAAAAATAATTCACGTATTTTTTATGTTAATAACACGACTACATGCGAGCAAAGTCGCGAACAAAGTCGCGGGCAACAGCTAGTAGCTTAATAAAGCTTCTCAAAGCAGCCATTTTTGTTTATTTTAAGACACAAGCATAAAATGTACCATTATAGGAGGTTAAAAAGGTTTTATTAAATCGCATATTTTTAACAAATACTTTTTATTATTTAGAAATTTACAATTACTAAATACATACAAGATTAATCAGTTTAGACTCATTCAGAGTTTAATAATATAATATATAACATTAATAGATCAATAAATATAATCACATTTAAAATTGGCTATGGTTAAATTACACATCTTTATTAAAAAAGTAGTTCCTAACTTGTAAACATTGAATAGTTAGGATATAATACATATATCATTTCTTTATTATCAGATTTTATGAAAAATAAATGTATTTATACCATTTTGAATGGTTTTTAAAAATTTCTATTATAAATACTTTCTTAATTAATATCTTTTATTACAAATAATATTAATTCACATGTAAATTATTATTAGATATAGGTTCGGAAAACATTTTTATTAATTTTTTTTCAACACAAACAAAATGATATGCATAAGTCAAAATATATATATTTTTTTTTTACCTAAATATTTATAGGTATATATTCGATATATTTATTATAAAAATGTGCCTCAAGAAACAGAGAGACTAGTCACAGAATAATTATATTCAACAGTAAATTTCCAAAAAAGAAAATCAATATATAAAATTTAAATCTTTCATAACGGTGATTTTATAAAAATTACATAAATAACAACATAAACATAAATTTAGTAGGATTATACGATATAAAACTATATAAAAAAAATATTCGTAATTTAATTAATTATTTATATTCTCTAAAATGTATTAAAGATGTAGAAAACATTTTTTTTAGTCTAATACATTTATTAGCCTTCACAAATCATACTAAAAATCATTGCATTGGAGGTACCTATTTTAATTATTTACAAATAATCCAAAATTGGGAGGAAATTAGTTATTTTTTTTAAGCAGAGCGAGTTTTTATACACCCAGTACATTGAAAATAAATATTCGCAGAAATAACATCATTTTAGGTTCCTAATCGTTTCTAATAATTTTAATTTCAATACAGACTTGTTTTGACTAATATTTATTGATTAATTTCATGTCTTATCGACTTATATTGTTACGACAGCTCTAAATTTTTTTCACTTTATCTAGAATAGTATCTAATTGATTTAAAATTAGTGATAGATCTGATTCGGCTCATGTTAGGACCATATAATCTATAATTTTCCAGTGAAATCTTTTTTGTAGTTTCAAATGCATCCTGAGATCTTTTGAAAAATTACATTCATTCATAATTGAGACCTTTTTTATTGCATTATAAATACAAACTCGATCCCGTCTGTTTTCTAATTTAGTGCAAATATAGAAAAATGCATGAAAAAGTATTAAAAGCACCATAGGTAAATATTTCAGCTATTAAAGGTGGATTTTACATATAACTTTGAGCTTGCTGCTTTGACATCTTCATAGCATAGAGTCAAATTTCTTCTATTCAGCATCTGCGAAGATTACAGTTTTATCGACTGTATGAAAGTTGCTTCAAATTTTATTAAATGCAATACATTTTCAATCGAATACCGCTGTCCAACAGGTGAGGAAGTTTATAATGAACTTGTCACAAGAAGATTTTTTAGAACAACAGCTATTTTTATTCGATTTTTGAAAATTATTGTTATCGTAAATAAATTTTCTAGGTTCCCCTCCTTTATATGGCAGGCGACTTCCTCCTTTCTTTTTTATATATTCTAATATTTTTTCGGTTTCGTATTCATCTAAAATTCCGCTTCTATCAGGGCCTTTGACTCCATCTATTGTGCGACATAGAAACTCTTTTTTGGTCATAAGACCGTACCTAAAAAGAAAAAACATAATATCATTTAACATAAGGTATTTTTTTGAAAATATTTTTCATAAAAAATCGAGCATGGTCTAAAACCTAAAATATAATCATCGGATATCAAATTTTATCAGTCGTATACGAGATTTTTCAAAAATAAAGTTACTTTACTCTTCAGCACAAATAATATTTTTCGACACACCTCGTATACGGCTGAAAAAAATTGATATCTAATGGTTGTATTTTAGATTTTAGACCATGCTCGACTTTTTATGAAGAATAACTTTTTTACTTAAAATTAATAATAAAAAAGTTTTCCATATTTTTCCAAAATAATAAATTATTATTAGATACTGGATCTCAAAGCAATTTTATTTACATTTAAAATTAATAAACCAATTTCAGGTATGAATCAATCTATTACACAAATATCTTATGGTGTCAATACTAAAATAAAATCAGTACAGATAATAAATTTACCTGGTTATACCTTAAAATAGTTTTTCTTTTCTAATAGAACTCAATAAATCACAAAAAATTGATTTGTTATTAGACCTACAAATATTTTTTGATTTATTTTGTATTAGACAAATTAAATTAAGTTCCAAACTAGTCTGCTATGCAAAAACACATCTTGGTTGGGTAATTTCGGATCCAATGCAGGTGAACATTATTTTTAACAATAAACAATAAAACTAACTTTAATAAAAATATCAAAATACATTTTAATTTGAAATTACTGTAAATTCCAATTTTATAACCCCTAAAAATGAAAATAAATTAATTTTAAACATACTCTACCTTGGTGCGTATACGAGATCTCTCAATACAGCTTTCAAATTAAATTTTTGAGTTTCTAAAGTCCTTCTTTTGCATTCTTCTATGCACCATCTCATAATAGCGCTATATACTAATATTTCGCTGGAAATTTCTAAAGTATCTCTCGTGGTTATACTAAGTATATCACAGTAATCCAATTCTAGTACCTCTTTTTGTTTAAGAACATATTCAGCATTTCTATCAATCACCGAAAAACAGTTATTTCGTAAATTATCATCTATGAGGTGATGAACCCATTCGTCCTTACATTTAGATTCGTCTTCTACCAAAGGTGGAGCTGATGGTTCAATGTCGTTAGGATTTGAAGATTCATTTATACACGTGGAAATATATCGTAAAATAAGTAATACATTAGTTTTATCTAGAAGATTGTTCAGGTTTTCTATACATTGTTCAGCTAATTGCATGTTGTGTAATTTAATAGCTGTGGAAAAAAGTTGTAGGGCCACAATGGGTTTGTCTATTGAAAGTGGACTGGCTTTCGTTGAGCTGGAACATAAATGCTTGTGTTAGTTTTGATGTATAGTAAAAATTTAATTTGATACACTTTAGACAGTCATATTGATGATTAAAACCCTTTCCCTGCTGATGACGCACATGCGCGTCATAGGAAGCTCCCATTATATGCCAACAACGCACATGTGCGTCATAGGAAGCCCTCCACTTTGTGCTAACGACGCACATGTGCGGCATCCGATCAAAAGGGCTTTAATTTAGATTCCCAGTGAAAGGGTTAAAGAATGGTTGGGAAATTAGAAAAATATCTGATAAACAAAGGCTACTCAGATTTTTTCTTTCGTTTGTAATCCCATTTCTCCGGATTCAGGAATTTATTTCTGACTTCTTTCACAATCAAATCAAATAATTGCATTTATATTAATTTATTATTATATACAAACCTCATTAAATGTTTGTAAGCTTCGCGAAGATTGGCTTCGCTCTCGTCTGTTTCACTTGACACACCGGAATCCAGGGTTAGTTTTGAACCTCCACGGGAGTCACTGTCCACTTTAAGAACCATTGTTTCTTGGTTAAGACTAGAAAAAAAGAAAATCCATTAAAAATTTTCAAAATGTTGACAAGTTAAGTTTTTATTTCTAGGAAGTAGGTATATATTATGTTTTGTATACAATTAGAAGGTAGGGAAGGTATGAAAGGTAGGGAAGATAGGGAAAGGAGTGAAGGTAGGAAAGGTAAGGAAGTTAGGGGAGGTTGGGAAGATAGGAAAGGTATAAAAGGTAGGGAAGGTAGGGAAGATAGAGAAAGTAGGGAAGGTAGGAAAGGTAGGGGAGGTATGGAAGGTAGGGGAGGTATGGAAGGTATGGAAGGTAGGGAAGGTAGGAAAGGTAGGGAAGTTAGGGGAGGATAAGAAGGTAAGGGAAGTAGGGAAGGTAGAGACGGTAGAAACGGTAGTGAAGGTAGGGAATGTAGGGAAGATAGAGAAAGTAGGGAAGGTAGGAAAGGTAGGGGAGGTTGGGAAGGTAGGGGAGGTATGGAAGGTAGAGACGGTAGAGAAGGTAGGGAAGGTAGGGAAGGCTCAGTGGCGCATCCAGATTGTAAGTCTGGGGGGAGGTAGTAGTAGTAGTAGTAGTAGTAGTAGTAGTAGTAGTAGTAGTAGTAGTAGTAGTAGTAGTAATATCTAATATTTTCTTTTTGATATTACATTTTAATACCTATAAAAGGTTTGATTTAAAAATTCCGGGGGTAATTATAGCACAGCAACTAATTTTTAATAGAAAGTTATTACCTCTGCATTTATTTAGGGCGGGCACTCTATTGACACACTATAAATATTAAATATTTATAGATACTTCTACCATAAAAATTGTTCGGGTGTTTTACGATAATACATAAGTTTAAGTATCTACAAAACTAAAATTAAATATAGTTCTGTTTCGGTATACTAATTAAGCAGAATTTATGAAACAATTAAAAATAATTAGCTCCAGTTAGATATACCTTCGTTATAATCAGTTTACTTTTGTTTTGATAAATATTTACTGACCAAATTAGCGATGTGGTTGTAATTGCTTTGCAACTTCACTTGTATATTTAGATAAAGTATTAAACATATTATATCGCGTGTATCAGACTAAGTAAACAATTTAAACGTTTTATTTTAAATTCAAACAAAGGGTTTAATATTTATTTTACCTAGCATAAAGACTAAAAAAATATTTTCCCTCTAGAGTGCTTGGAAAGTAAATTAAAAATAAATGTATTCCAGATTTACTGTAATAAATAATCAATAAAATAAAAATGTCAGAAATAGATCATGAGTCAATAACTTATAAGAAGTTTATTATTTTAATATTCATTATTATAGATAGAATGCACTTGTCTACCAATTTATTTTACAAAAATATCGTAATACTCTCACTAGATGTTTTAGCACTAATAATTGGTAATAGTAACTTCATATATTTAAGTTATAGAAGAATAAAAATATAAAATAAGCTCATACCTTTTCGACGGAGATTACATTTTCAAATGTTTCTTTTTTTTTTGATCTTGCTATCAATTATTTTGTTGCTTATTATAGATTATCTCTAATTATACTCGTATATCAATAAGAATTTATTAGGTATTAGAAGTGTTCTAAAAAAATATTCCCAGTTTCACAATTTGGCGACATCTATAATATATTTGTTTGTTTATATATACTTATAAACCAATGATTCATTATGAGATAAATAATTAAAGATATGGCAAATTATCCATAGACTGTGGGTATCACAACCTATTTATTACACTATTATCTAATTCTGTAGCATTCAGATTCGCATTGAATTATATTTTTTATGTTTTAAATAGTTCAAATGAAAAAGTATCCGATAAATTAAAAAATCAGAAGATAAAACTATTTAAAATGTTTGCAAACTTCTTATATTATCTTTTTTGTAAAAATATGGTCGTAGATATAATACGGTATGAAATTCGTGTATGGGCGATATAGAAAAGTTCAAAAATTATTAGGAATAAAAAAAACTGCACAAAAATAGCATGAAAGTCAATTTTCTTTAATTCTATTTTTACAAATGATTTAAAAACCCAAAGTAATTATAACTGAATAATAATATAAAAATAGATTGATAAATTTAGATTTCCCTAAAATAAATCTGTTGGTTAATTTTTTTAAATTAAATATTTGTTTCCTTAAATCCTTTTAAAATAACAACTAATCTGATTTTTATTTTGTTCTAGGTAAGACTGCACGAGACTACAAGAAATGTAAGAATTTATTATTTCTATTAATTTTTTTAATAAATGATAAATACATTACTATTTTTACTATAAAAGATTTCCTGTTTCATGTAAATCCTTTTTCATAAGATCCGTTACATCTGTTGAAGTAAAGCAGCTTATTTTTTCATTGAATAACTCAAACTCTACAGATTATCACAAAATTAATAGTAAGATGATTTAATTTTAAGACCCTTGACTGAGTAAATAAATGTAATTTTTTATACTAGTGCCTTCTCCTGATAAATTAAAACTCTCCAAAGTTATACCGTTATAAATCTTGTTCTAAAATAATTAAAAAATTACTAAAAAAAAAAATAATCTTTTTAGATTCGTCCATATTTAATATCAGTTACTAGTTAACAAAATTGAACTATTTAAATTAGTCATTTATAATGTAAAATTTTGTTTGTACAATCTTGTGTATAAACGTTAATTAGACGGTACTTTATCTATATCGCGTAGAATATCAATTGTAGCCATATTTATTAAGCCAAACTTGTTATCAGCCTTTTATTAGTGTTTGAACTTTTAATTATTTTTTTTTTATGTAAAGAATACTCATTATAATACTATTATTAAAGCCAATTTGTACTCAAAAGGGCTTCTACTGGAAAAGTTATGGGATAGGTTATATTTCTTCAATTTCGTGATACAACATCGAAAAAATGCACAATATTAAGTATATCATCCCATTTTTTGTTGTTTTTTATTTGCTTATAAATCAGAAACATCAACTATTTTTAAATAACGGAATTTCGTGACACTATATAGAAAAAATGCACAATATTAAGTATATCATCCCATTTTTTGTTTTTTTTTTCCTATCAACTCTTTGTAAATAAACTTTCTACACTGCTCAACAAATAAAATGAATAATTTTAAATGTCTGGAAGTTATAATTTAAAAATTATCAAAATAAATTTTAAAATGTTAAAATAATTATAAAATATACTTTCTATCAATGTTGGACTGTCTGTAGGGATTACAGGGTGTATGTTTTTTTTTTATTTGGGTTGTTTTTAGAGATTTTTTTCGTAGATTTGTTGCTAGGTCAAATCAGTTACTAAATTTTTTAAGTTTCATCACTAACCACGACATGTCCCAGGTATAATAAGCGCCTCTATATTCATTTAATAAATAAAAACGTTTTTAATTATTTCTTCTACACCCATAGATTACAAAATAACAAAGGCCATTGTATTCAACTGAACGAATATTTTTCATATCCATTTTACCTACTAAGAAAATTGCACGAATATGAAATCCACCAATCACAGTTCATATTTGGTCACTAGGCAGCTACTATTTTTAAAAATTTTAAATACGTGACAATTCTGTTAAACTAATTGTCACTATCACGTTTTCTTATAGTTATAAGATTTACAATGAAATCAAAAGCGCTAAAAACGTCGAAAAACGTTGAAGAGTATTGAAAAACGTTGAAAAAGTCTAGAAACGTTGAAAAACGGTTTAAAAACGACGAAAAGCGTTGAGAAACGTTGAAAATGTTGATAAACGTCGGAAAACGTCGAAAAAGTTGAAAAATTGTTGAAAAACGTTGAAGAGCATTGAAAAACGTTGAAAAATGTTGATAAACGTCGAAAAACGTTGAAAAATGGTTGAAAAACGTCGAAGAACGCTGAAAAACATTTAAAAACGTTGAAAAATGTTGATGAACGTCGAAAAATGTTAAAAAACTTTGAAAAATGGTTGAAAACGTCGAAGAGCGTTGAAAAACGTTGAAACTGTTGATAAATGTTGGAAAACGTCGAAAAACGTTTGAAAAATTGTTGAAAAACATTGAAGAGCGTTGAAAAGCATTGAAAAATGTTGAAAAATGTTGATAAACGTCGGAAAACTTTAAAAAAACGTTGAAAAATGTTGAAAACGTCGAAAAACGTTGAAAAACGTCGAAAAACGGCTGGTTAAAAGTAGAGTGGTGAGGGGGAACTCCTAAGTGGCCTATTACCTATTCGTATAATTTAAACGTTTATTCTTAGTTAAAAATATAAACCAAATGTTTAATTTTTCCGATGCAACAACGGTTTTATTACTTTTAGTTAAACTAACGTTACTATTAAACGTATATTAAACAAAATTTGCAACTCTCTGTAGAACCACAATTACATAACAACGTTTTAAAATGATATTAAAATATACTATTTTATATCAGCTTTTGGAACCAACAGATTCAACCATTGGCAACTCTTCATGGAGTGTCCAAACATCGGAGGAGCTAACGTTTCGAAGCTCAAGAAAGGAAAAACTAAGGGAGATCAACAATGCCCTGAAATTTGAGAACAAAGCGTTGAAAAGAGACAACCAGGTCCTTCTTAATAAATGTAACAATCTTGAAAAGAAGCTTCAAGAAAAATTGGAAGACATGATCACTCTCGAACAGTGCCCATCCAAAGAACTCGCAAAATTTATTAATGTTCAGATTACCCAAAGCATGAAATCAGCTATTTAAATTTAAATTTAAGTTTTTATCACTATATTTTTCTGGCCCAAAGGTTTATGAAACATTTCTAATTAAATTATTTTGCCTGCCTGGGTCGCAATCCCTTAGAATCTTATTCCACCAGGTATGGAAGTCTCCAATGTGTTCAAAACACTGACAATTTTAATGAAATGGATAAATATTGTGTACATTTTTCAGTATTTTCGTTTTCAATGAATATCTATAGAAAAATGTTTCGAGTTAGATTGTATGTGGAAAATGTATATATTTAGTTTATCCTCTAAACATTTATAGAGGTGCTACAATAGGTTGTACAAAATAACCGGAAAAAGCCTATAATAACTAGATAGGAAAGTCATGTGTTGGACACATCAGATTTTTTTTTTATAAAAAACGTATTTTCGCCGGTATTTAATTGTAAAACTTTAATTTAAACACTCGGTATATATAGATTAAACACCGACTAGACGTAAAATCTGGTCGGACGGTGGACTGCAATTCAAATTAGGTATTTTTTTCATAGGGAAATACACCTACGGTTAGGTTAGATAGATCTAAATAAGACTTATTTAGATCTATCTAACCTAACCGTAGGTGTATTTCCCTATGAAAAAAATATTTAAGTTATGTATTTTTACTTTCCTATCTGTATACAGATATAAGGAAAGTATAGGAATCATGATTTTTTTCGACCTCGAGTTTTCGACGGATTTTTACGTTTTGAGGTCCCCTGAATCCGTTTTGACTATTTTCGCGATGATGTCTGTGTGTGTGTGTGTGTGTCTGTGTGTCTGTGTGTCTGTGTGTCTGTGTGTCTGTGTGTCTGTGTGTGTGTGTGTCTGTATAACGCATAACTCATGAACCGATACACAGAAAAACACCAAATTTTAAACTTAAGCTTTGTTTCAGCGTCCAATGAGCTGATTAGATTTTGGGCAGTGTCGGAACATCTGGGGGGGTACTTTATAGGTGGTCATTTTTATATTTTATGGAATATATCTGTTATTTACGTTTGGAGAAGAAAATTCTTCAAATAAAAGTTACTTATAATATAATTATCTATAATTTTTGTTTTATGCAAAATTTTCCTAAAATGGTCCGTATTCGAGAAATTTGACAAAATGTAAAAAACATAATTTTTTATAAAAATTGTTCAAATAAAAGTTGTTTATAATATAATTCTCTATAATTTTTGTCCTATACATAATTTCTCTAAAATGGACCGTATTCGAGATATTTGAGAAAATGTGTAAATTTCGAAATTTGAAGAAAACTCAAAAACGGATAAAGGAAAAAACATTAAATTTTAAACTTAAGGTTTATTTCGGTCTGACGTGAAATAATTAGATTTTGGACAAAGTTGGAACATCTGGGGGGGTACTTTATGGGAGGCCGTTTTTATATTTTATGGAATATATCTGTTATTTATGTTTGGAGAAGAAAATTGTTCAAATAAAAGTTACTTCTAATATTATTATCTATAATTTTTGTTTTATGTCAAAATTTCCTGAAATGGTCCGTATTCGAGAAATTTGACAAAATGTGCAAAATTCTGATTTTTATGAAAATTGTTGAACTAAAAGTTGTTTGCGATATCGATTTCTATAATTTTTGTTTATACATGATTTTTCTAAAATGGTCCGTAATGGAAAAGTGCTAAATTTAAATTTTTCTGTATTTTCGTTTTCAATGAATATCTATAGAAAAATGTTTCGAGGTAGATGTATGTGTAAAATGTATATATTTAGTTTATCCTCTAAACATTTATAGAGATGCTGCAATAGGTTGTACAAAATAACCGGAAAATGCCTATAATAACTAGATAGGAAAGTCATGTGTTGGACACATCAGATTTTTACTTTCCTATCTGTATACAGATATAAGGAAAGTATAGGAATTTTTTTCGACCTCCAGTTTTCGACGGATTTTTACGTTTTGAGGTCCTCTACCATAACTCATGGACCGATACAAAGAAAAATACCAAATTTTAAACAAAATAGTAATCGTGCTAATCCAACAGCCATTCAATTTCAAAGAACCTTTAGAAAGTTGTTCTGTGTAAAACTACTCAATTCAGGAACTCAAAACTGCGAGAATGACATGTATAATATGCTTCTGCAAGTATCTGATGTCATTAAAGAGGATACAAATTAGTTCGTAGCTTATACGGTATTTCTTATTAATCATATATTTGTAAAATTCAAGAAATTAAAATGAAAAAAGAATTAAACATGTTAGACTTTCAGAAACACTTTTATTTAAAAAAAAAATAAAAGTTAAAAATAACATATAATTATTTCAAAATACAAAACTTGTCTGTAATTTTTAATTTCTATTTTTTTAATACGAATTTTCATCAAGTAAAAACCGAAATAATCAAGAAATTAATTACGAACAATCAGCTGTGTGAAAATCTAAAAAAAATAGAACACCTTCGTGTATATTTTTGAATTATTATACAGATATGTAGGTATAAAGGAATTAAATAGAAATCTGAGTAATACTCACTGTTAATTCAGTGAATGCAGACACTAGAAACGAAAATTAAATACCACCCCACTGCACGATAATTTATTTTTCTACATTTAACTGATTCACGTCGACCCCTGACGGTCTGACGGCAAATAAGCTTGCGCTTTCATTAAAATACGCAAAAGCTTTCGCAGCGCAGAATCATTAGGATCCAAGGCGTTATAATATATATGAAAACGTGGTATCGAGCTCGGGCGATGTTTCAGAACTTTTCAGCGGAGCTTCGTGTATTCGTGATCGATATATTTAGATCTTTACATGTTCTAAATTCAGTTAACTCCACCTAACAAATATTTACGCATATTACACTTCCTATTGACCAATATAGTTGCAAGAATTTTTATATTAAGAAAAAACAGTTTCTTTTACTGTTATTTTGGTTCTTAGAATCCTAATTTTTGTATATTTTTAGGTTTAATTAATTGTCGAATAATAAGCGTAATTAAAAAGAATAAATTTATTAAAAAAAAAACACACAAATCCAATATTTATGAAATATTTGAAGTAACTGGGACTATGGGGCTGCTACATATTCCAAGATAGCATTGCGTCCCAGACGTAATAAAGAATGCTTTTGAATTTCATTTTTGAAGTCCAACATGCTTTCTCTTCATGTGGCAAACATATTTTTTATATCTAAAATTTATTTTTTTTCAAAATTTCTGTCACAAATGTATACAGGGTGTTATTGAAATACACGTACATATTAAAATGGGGAATAGTATGTAATGACCAAAAACGATTGGCACCAATTTTAACTTCAAATTCTAAAATTTAAATATTGGGGAAGAGTCCCCTTTTCCGACCTACTAGTTTCCATATTTAAAGAAGTAAAATAAATCGAAATTGAACTTACCCATAGAAATTGCACTGTTGCCGTAGCAAAACCAATTAATTCAAAATAAAGTTTATTACAGTAATTGTTCAAAATGCCGTCCATTATTATTTACACACACTTGCAATCGTCTTTCCAAAGAACTTTGAACATTAGAAATTAGTCTTGGATTTTGTCGTAGTTCCTCGGCTACCGCATTAACTGTATTGGTTAATTGTTCAACACTATTAATAGGTTCATTATAAACCAGTTGTTTCATGTGACCCCACAAAAAGAAATCGCATGGATTTAAGTCCGGAGATCTCGGAGGCCACTTAGTAGGTCCATTTCTGCCTATCCACTTTTGAGGAAATCTAATGTTCAAAAACTGCCGTACGTTTAAATCAAAGTGAGGAGGAGCGCCATCTAGTAGGTACCACATCCGTTGCCTTAATTGTAACGGTATCTCTTCTAGGAGTACTGGCAAAATATCTTCTAAAAAGTGGAGATATCCTGGCCCATTTAATCTGTTCGGGAGAACATAAGGCCCGATTAAATACTGATCTATTATGCCAGCCCAAACATTTATTGAAAATTTTCTTTGATGCCCAGTTTCCCTAATGGCGTGAGGATTTTCATCACTCCAAATATGCGTATTGTGCATATTGAACACGCCATCACGAGTGAATGAAGCCTCGTCAGTATACAATAATATTTTTAGAAAATCAGGAATATCAACACATTTTTGAATCATCCATTCACAAAACTCCACTCTCTTTTCTTCATCACCTGGATATAAGGCCTGGACTTTTTGGATGTGATAAGAATGTAAACCTTGTTCTTTAAGTGTCCGCCACACAACAAATGAGGACACTCCAATTTCAAGACCTAGTCTTCTACAACTTAATTGAGGCCGGTTTTCAACAGCTTCCAATATTTCTTCTTCGGCCGCCAATGTTCTTTGTGTTCTTGTTCTCCCTCGATCTGCATTGACACTCTCAAATTTTCCATGGTCTCTTAGATGCTGAACAGTTGAAATAAACGTACGACAGTCCGGAATTCTCCGATTTGGAAACCGTTCGCGATACAGGATTTGTGCTTGCCGAGAATTTTCTCCAGCTGCCCCATAAACCAGCACTATATCCGTTAGTTCAATATTCGTAAATAGTGGCATCGTAAAAAAATATTTAAAAGTAATCGTAACAACACTTTTTACCAACTTGGAAATGACGCGCTCGTGTTAGCCAGATTCGTAAATCAACTAAAATTTTAATAATCTATAGTTTCAAAAATGTATAGTTTAAAAACAATCATTTATCAAATATTCTAGTTTTTTGATAACGAGGGTAGTAAAAAGCAGTCTTCGGAAATAGAAATTAATTCGAAAATCTTGGCAACATGGTTATTTCTTACAAGACTAGTTTTCTTATCATCTGACAAAAACTTGCATATTAATTACTGTTGATGTTTAAAATAGGTAAATAAACCTAATTTATATAGGTCATCCTCAACATATCAGTGAAGTTCGTTTGTTTTAGAATTAATTTTCAAAAATTAATAACTCCCTTAATAAGGGGTATTTTTAAAAAATAATATTTTTCTACATTCAGTGGGGATCTGCGCAATACCCAGTTTTAATATGTACGTGTATTTCAATAACACCCTGTATATCCCTTGACTAGCCTCATTAAAGCCTTCATCGAAAGTGTCACTTGCAGCATGTTGGTAAACGTCGAAGAACGTTAAAAAGCGTTGATAACCGTCGGACAACGTCGAAAAACGTTGAAAAACATTGAAAAACGTTGAAAAATGTTGATAAACGTCGGAAAACATTAAAAAACGTTGGAAAACGTCTAAAAACGTTGAAAATGGTTTAAAAACGTCGAAGAGCGCTAAAAAACGTTGAAAAATGTTGAAAAACGTTTAAAAAAACGTTAAAAAAAACGTTGAAAAATGTTGAAAAACGTCGGAAAACGTTGAAGAGCGTTGAAAAATATTGATAAAAGTCGTAAAACGTTGAAGAGCGTTGAAAAACGTTGAAAAATATTGATAAAAGTCGGAAAACGTCGAAAAACGTTGAAAAACATTGAAAAACGTTGAAAAATGTTGATAAACGTCGGAAAACGTTAAAAACCGTTGAAAAATGTCGAAAATAGTTGAAAAATGGTTGAAAAATGGTTGACAAATGTCGAAAACGTTGAAGAGCGTTGAAAAACGTTGAAAAATGTTGATAAACTTCGGAAAACGTTGAAAAACATTAAAAAATGATTGAAAAACGTCGAAGAGCGCTGAAAAACATTGAAAATGTTGATAAACGTCGAAAAACGTAAAAAAAAAACGTTGAAAATTTTTGAAAAACGTCGAAAAACGTTGAAAAATGGCTGAAAATGGCTGAAAAACGTTGAAAAACGTCGAAAACCGCTGAAGAGTGTTGAAAAACGTTGAAAAATGTTGATAAACGTCGGAAAACGTCGAAAAACATTGAAAAATGGTTGAAAAACGTTGAAAAACGTTGAAAAACATTGAAAAATGTTGATAAACGTCGGAAAACGTTAAAAAATGTTTTCGTTAAAAATTTAAAATAATAACCTTTCCATACTAGAAATTTTATTCTCAGAAAAATCATTGCACTAACAATACTAAAATTGTTTCTATTATTCATACATTATGATGTGAGGCTTTATTAGTAGCACGTTATAAAGCTCATAATCTTTTGTTTACTGATGCAAATGCTTTTTGAAGGTACCTATTTTATAAATTAAATATCCGATCCATTTAAAGTTGCAGTTTGAAGTAACGTTTGATGATATTATTATGTATTTATTGGATTATCAAAGCAACACTTTATTTCTGTATTTCGATTATTGTGAGAATTGGAATACTTGAGAAAAATGGTTATTCGTTGGTGTTTAATGTTTGTTTTCGTAAATTGTTTAAAAAATTTAAAAACTGATTTGACAGTAAAGGTGTTAAATGAATACAATTTGAAATCTGCTGTATTTTTATTATGTTGGACCGAGTTGGGTATGTAGTATAATAAAATCTAGAAAATTAATAAATTTTTCAGTTATACGTTTTTATTTTAGAAAAAATTCAGCTATTAAAATCAACATATTTGAATACATCAGCTAAAGCACTAGTTTTTCCTATTCAAGATAGTGCTAATTTCGAATTAAATGTGAGATTATATAAAAAAGTAGTATTTGTTTTAGATTTGGACTGCCCTAATACTCTTGCAGTTATTCAGCAGGTTTGTTCTGGCTATATAACAAAAAAAATCCAGTAATTTGATTTGTTTATTATATAAATAGTCAATATTGTTCATTTGAAGTTTAAGAGAGAGAGAAAATTCGCAGAAATACCTATTTTGTTATACATATCGTAAGAATCTGTTAGTAAAGTCAAATATGCAATATTCTGACTCGAGTCACTTTTCTTTATAATTTTAAGTACTATAACTGGTTTTGATATTGATTATCGTAAAATATTTCTGGGAATTCAATCTTCCCTATCTGCAAATTGTGCATAATATTTATTTTAAATTTAAGAATTTGATATTCAGTAATATAGTAATAAAAAAACTTTTATTATAGAATTCATCATATAATAAATTCACAAACATATACCACTGGTTCCTATTTTACAACAAATCTACTACAAACGAAGACATTTCTAACATGTTTTGGAATGTGAAACTTAGATTAGATACAAAAATGCAAGTGGCCGTATTTGAAGAAAATTCTTGCCAAATATTTGACATATACAAACCTGGATACAACGTTGATATTAAAATAAAATTGTTCGCTACTTATACAAATGGAACAATTATATTTAATAATGAAATGTCTTTTTACGAACAGAGAAAAATATTAAAGGAGGTTCTTATACGAACTGCAAATACGGTAAGAATCAATATATACAGAGTGTTAGTATACAATAATTTTTCAGAATAGTAGATGAGCTATAAGGCTTCTGGATCGCCGTACAGATTAAAAAATATATGTAGATATTTTGTGTTTTTGTTATTTGTTAGAAATTGATTTAAAAAGACGTCAGAAAAAATGTACAACCATGATGATGATATTAAATTTTATTATTTTAGTACAATTTTTCATTCAAAACCGACAAAGATATTGCCAAGGAAATGAAATCTAAAGGTGATCGAACATTTGAAAAATTTAACTTCCAGTTATTTCTAAATTTAAAAGCCATTCACAACTTCAAGTAAAAAAAGGTATGCACGTGTTAGAATGTCATATATCTAATTATATAATTGTAGATATAATACAACATTGCGTAATGCGTATTTTGGAAATACTACAGCAGGCTTTGATGCAGGTAT